GGGGCGCCTGGGTGGCTCAGTCAGTTCAGCGTCCGACTTCAGCTCAGGTCATGATCTCGCGGTCCATGAGTTCAAGCCCCGCATCGGGCTCTGTGCTGACAGCTCAGAGCCTGGAGCCTGTTTCAGATTCTGTGTCTCCCTCTCTTTCTGACCCTCCCCTGTTCATGCTCTGTCTCTCTCTGTCTCAAAAGTAAACGTTAAAAAAAAATTTTTTTTTAATGTTTGTTGGTTACCTAAAAATCAAGACTCAAGGTGCTTTTCTATTGAAGAATGATTAAGTTAGCAATTGTGGTCATTTACTTCTCTGATTATAAAATTTTTCAACAGGAAAAACTTGTTGCACTTGGAGATTTGATCAGCTTCCAGCCCTATCAATCAGGTAATCTTTTAGATGTGACATTTTATTGAGCTGTTATTAAAAGACTACTAAAATAGTTGTAGAAATGAAATATTACTCAGCCATCAAAAAGAATAGAATCTTACCATTTGCAATGATGTGGATGGAGCTAGAATGTATTATGCTAAACAAGTCAACCGGAGAAATACAAATACCACATGATTTCACTCATGTGGAATTTAAGAAACAAAACAGATGAACATATGGGAAGATGGGGAAAAAAAGAAAAGAGAAGAGAGAGAAACAAACCACAGAGAATCTTTTTGTTTATTTTAAGTGTATTTACTTAAGAGAGAGAAAGCATGCACATGCGAGCAGGGGAGGGGCTTAGAGAGAGAAAGAGAAAGAATCCCAAGCAGGTTTCTTGCTGTCAGCACAGAGCCTGACATGGGTCTTGAACCCACGAACCATGAGATCATGACCTGAGCCAAAACCAAGAGTCAGATGCTCACTGACTGAGCCACTCAGGTGCTCCACAAGAGACTCTTAATGACAGACAACAAACTATGGGTTGATGGAGGGAGGTGGGTGGGACACGGGCTAGATCGGCGATGAGTATTAAGAAGGGCACTTGTGATGAGCACTGGGTGTTGTTTGTAAGTGGTGAATCACTGAATTCTACTTCTGAAACCAATATTGCACTGTATGTTAACTAACTAAAATTTAAATTAAAAAAAATAAGATCACCATAATCATCCATGAAAAAAATAAAATATTTGTTGAAACTGAATCACTATTTGATATTGGTAACTATAATCTACATTTTATCACATTTAAATGAAATTACTGACAAAATAAACTACCAAGTTCAGTGTGTCCTTTGAAATAAAATATCTCATAAGAATGCTAAAGAAATTACCTCTTAAAAACACTATGACCTTGGGGCACCTGGGTGGCTCAGTTGGTTAAGCATCTGACATCAGCTCAGGTCATGATCTCACAGTTCATGGGTTTGAGCCCCACATTGGGACTTTGCGCTGACAGAGCAGAGCCTGCTTCAGATTCTCTGTCTCCCTCTCTCTCTTCCCTGCCTCCACTCAGGCTCTCTCTCAAAAATAAACATTTTTAAAAAGCTTTAAAAAAAGCACTATGACCTTATAAATGCGTATATCATAAGTATTCATTTCCCAGGGCTGCCATAACAAATTACCACAAACTGGGGCCTTATACAAGGGAAACTTATTCCTTAGTGAATAAATGAGACTAGAAGACCTACAGCAAAGTGTTGACAGGGTCATGACCCCTTTGAAGGCTCTAGGGAAGCACCCTGTCCTGCCTCTTCGAGCTTCTGGTGGCAGTGTTTGGCGGTCTGGGCTATAGCCGCATCACTCCAATCTCTGGCTCTGTCTTCACATGTCAGTCTTCTCTGTGCGTGTGTCTGTGTTTCTTCTCAAATGGACACCAGTCGTTGCAATCCAGTATGACCCCCTGTGAACTTGATTGGATCTGCTAAACCTTATTTCTAAATAAGGTCACATTCACAAGTATCAGAGATTAGGACTTCAGCATGTCTTTTTGGGAACACAATCCAACCCACAACATCCCATTCACTTTTAGATCACTTAAAAAAAATAAATTTTAATAAGCTTATTTTTCTCATGGGCAGTTTCTCGAATCCTAAACTGACAAGGAAATGTTATCATCTTTCTTTAATCTCTAAATATTGAAAATGTTTAACAATCAGTGTGGCACAGATTTCACCCAATCTGCCTCTTAGAATGAATTAACTGGTAAAAAGAACTGGGCAGTGGACAGAGGACTTCCTTGGTCCAGACTAGAGAAGTTTTAGTGAGGTCAAAGCATTGCCATAGGGGAAGGGCAGAGAGACTAGATCTCAAGGAAATGAGATTCTGGGCAGAAAGGTGGGCTTTGGGAATTCAGACCTGGTTCTGCCTGGTAGTCAAGTCACCAGGAATGGGCCAAAGTCAATGAAGCCCAAAGACAGCATGGAATCCAAGGGTATGGACTCAGAAGTCCAAAGAGCAGTCGATTTTCACTGGAACTCTTTTATTCCCAGATTTTTGAGGCCCTCTGTGAGGTTTCCTGCTTTTGCAGGGTAGAGCTACAAATTCCTTTTCTGAGAATGGGGTATAAAGCAGTCATTCTAAATTTGACTCCTTTGACTGGTAGTTAGTCCTAAATTTTCCATAATACTTGCATTATAGAGGGTTTTGTGAAAAAAGAACAACCTGATTTTATGCTATTTTCATTAACAAAGGTCAAAGCATATATGTGTGTGTGTGTGTGTGTGTGTGTGTGTGTGTGTATATGTGTGTGTGTGTGTGTGTGTGTGTGTGTATATAGATATAGATATATAAAGATATATATAGATATTTGATTATCTTGACTCTGTCACCTGAAGGTGACCTTGACCAAAACACTGTTCCAGAGATTCCAAGATCAGAGCATTAAAAATAATCAGAATTTTGCTGTTTGGAGATCTCTGCTTATTAACATATCAATGAGATGATTCGTGTATGAGGTTTGTTTAATCTTTTCCATTAATTTAATACATAATTTCTTGACTTTTAGAAACTGACTTAGACGAAAGAGATGAAAAGACCACCTTACCCACCACATACACCAACCAGGAAAATCAAAGAGTCTCAGATGGTAGGTATATCAATTGAAAAAAAAATATGTCCTTTTTATCCAAGGTTTAACACTAAATTTTGAAGAAAGGAATTTGATCATCAATTAACCATGAAGGGGAGGTAAGCCTTTCATCACCCTTATCCTATATTCAAAAACCAGATCATATTTAAAATCTATTAAAACCTGTGCAGGAAATTACCAGCGATTCATTGAGCACCTTCTGTATGCTGGCCACTGTGAGAGACACTGGGGGACACAATAACAGAGTTATGGCCACACAAACATGTCTTGGGAAAGGAGCCATAAGAGTATTAAAAAGTAAATGCAAAGATGCACAATGAATTAAAAAGCTCAATAAAGCAAAGCAAGACGGGTCAAAAGTAAAGAGAGTACATAATAACTAATCTGGAAACTCACAAGGAAACGAGAGGTCCTTGTAATATATGGAAGAAGTTTAGTCATATCGTCAAATTTAGTTGGGACTTACAGTAGCTAAAAATAACCAAATGGTCATATATTTAGTTAGAAACTGTCCTAGTTCTGTCACACATGGTGAAAATATTCTAGAGATTATTGTACAACAATGTGTACCTGGTTGATATGCTCGTGTACGCTGAAAAACATGTTAAAAAGGTAGATTTCACGTTACATGTTTTTAGCGTAATAAAAAAAGAAGAAAGAAAGAAATACTAGGTTCTAGAGACATGAACATAAATCAAATGTTGTTCTTGCTCTCAAAGTGCTCACCATCTAGCGTGGGAAACAGCAAAGCTGACTTAAAACTACCCAATTGAGGGGCACCTGGGTGGCTCAGTTGGTTAAGCGTCCACCTTCTGCTCAGGTCATGATCTATATAGCTCGTGAGTTCGAGCCCCACGTCGGGCTCTGTGCTGACAGCTCAGAGCCTGGAGCCTGTTTGGGATTCTGTGTCTCCCTCTCTCTCTGCCCCTCTCCTGCTCGCTCTCTCTCTCTCAAAAATAAATAAATTTTTTTTAAAAATTAAAAAAAACCTACCCAACTGAGAAGGCAGTGGTATGCAGAGAGAGGCCCAGGCATAATGGAACCACATTGGGGGTCTCCTGACATAGACAGGAGTGTTAGCAAAGGCTTTCAAGAAGAAACAAAATGGGACTGGAGTCTAGAAGGATGAGTAGGAATTACTCATGTCATGTAGTGAAAAAGAAGCATGCTAAGAGGAAGAGTAGAAGAGGCTGTGGGAGGTGCACCACCAGGAGACACATGAGCCAAGGAGACATGTCAGGTGACCGAGGCATGACCAGAAGTGTGAACCTGAGGCAGTGTGGAATTGTATTCAGAAGACATTAAATAGAGTAGCTGGGCTAGAGCAGAGGGTCCCAAGAGGATGAATGGAACTGGAAAAGGTGGATGGAGGACATCTCCAGTTTGGCTGAATGGTTGGCTGACAGCTCAGCAAAACAGCCGGTGGATGGCCAGACAAATCACGGAATGGGTGGGTCAGGCTTAGAGAACTAATGTGGCTTTATCATCGGCCCCTAGAGGATGATCACGCAGCCCAAGTCAGTGTCCGCAGGATTGTGCTGAGCTCAGTCCCAGACAGAATAGGTACTTTAAGAGGCCCAGGGAGACAGTATCTGCAGGGATCAGAGTGTCAGCACTATTGTTCCAGTGAGCCTGCTGGTGCTAAGCAGTACTCAGGAAAGGAGTGAGGGCTCCAAGGCCCTTGTGAGGGAAATGAGAAAAACTGGAAGACCTGTCATGATGAAGGTGACTGGCAGCTTTCCAGAACAGATGGAGAAAAGCCAAATTGTAGAGGATCTACTCCTGAGTTTCGACGTCAGAACAATCTAAGTGGTTAATTAAAATGGTAGATTCTTAGGGGGCACCTGGGGGGTTCAGTCAGTTAATCAAGCATCCAACTCTTGATTTCAGCTCGGGTCATGATCTCAAGTTCATGAGTTTGAGCCCTGAATTGGGGTCTGCACTGGCAGTGAGGAGCCTGCTTGGGATTCTTTCTCTCCTTCTCTTGCTGCCCCTCCCCTGCGCTTGCTCGCTCTCGCTCTCTCTCTCTCTCTCTCTCTCAAAAAATAAACAAACTAAAAAAAATTTATTAATGGTAGATTCTTAGACCCTCTACTAAGTCATAATCTTACGTAGACTGAAGAATGTTAGTGGTGATAACATAAAGAAAATGGGATTGATGTCAGGTTGTTTCGGGGCTAGCTGTTGAATGAGCATCAAGAATCAAATATCACTCGATAGAGCTTTCCAGTGTGAGTTCGGTGAGTTGTCAAAAAATTTCATGGGTGACAAAATCAGTATAACAACTGGCATTTTTTCCCTAAACTGGAATAAAATTGATAAGAAAAAAACAGTGAGAAGACCAGAATTTTCTTCCCGGTGCACTTGAATAGAATAGAAAAACAAAGATGAGTAGTAAAGATTAGAAAAGGGTAAGTACTGTTTCCTGTAACTTTTTTGTTTTATTATATGCACACAAGTGCACGTACTGGACTATAATGTCAAATACATTTTTAACTGTAAGTCCTGGTCAACAAAGATGGAAAAACACTGACCTAGAACATTTCAGAGGTTGTTATAGTCTACAGCCAATATGTTTTATTTAATTTTGGTTTCAGAATACAAAGATAGAATGTATTCTGATCTAATCCAAGATGAGGAAAAAGATCTAGTTATGCCAGACAGTAAGTCAGTCGAGTAAGAAACAATCTCTGTAGTGCTAATGGTCATGACTCACATTGTCCAGTCTTAGACAATAACGTTGCAGTCAGAAGAACATAGTCCAGCTCTTGAGATGCCATATGAAAGTGATCTTGCATCTGGCAGCTCCTAAAGAGCAAGGCTTTCAGAGAAACTTGGAATGGAAGAAACAACATAGGAGAAAATGAGAAGATCTGCAAAAATCAATGTGTTTTAGATACTAAAATCTCTGTTCTTTTCATTCTTATTTACTATGGTGGGTTTTTCAGATGTGACTCCTCTAACCATCTCTGAAAAGCCATACAGTCAAGCACCCATAAATGGTCGGTGGGAAACAAAACATTAACTAGTCTGTTTCTTATTCTATAAGTAGAACTGGGTAGAAGAGATCAAGTTTCCCCCAGATGCAGTTCTTTTCAAACCCTTTCCCCATCCCACATCCCCAGGTCCTCAACTTTGTTCACTGATGCTTCTGGAACCTACCTTCCTACATTTATAACCAGGGCTGTGTCAATGACAACTGAATCATTCCCTTAGAATGAATATGTAAGGAAATGGACACAGATAGATCTGTGAGTCCAGATTTTCAAAGTCTATAACCTAGTTGTCGCGGTATTGTACGAAAACAAGGCTGATGCAGGCTTCTTTGTGGTTGACCAGTCAGGATATTCACCCACGCCTCCACACTTTTATTTAAATGTCCAATAAAATGAACAAATCAATTGTACCTTCCATTATGAAAATGTACAGTATGATGGGCTTTGAAGTGGGGCTCACCACAGGGAATTGGAATTGGTGCATAGATGAGAAGCAGGGCCAAGAGAATAAATGGAACTGACAACATAGCTGCAAACAAAATCGAGAATGGGAAGCAAAGGAGCCAAGGGACACTGCACATAGAAATAGATTGAGGTGAGGAGGGAGGCCAGAATTTAGTTTTGCTGTATAAAAATACCTAGCAATGGTCTCGTGGTTCAATGTCCCTCCTAGATAGAATCCCTCTTACACACACACATGCTCCCTCAATTGAATCACATGGAATACAGGAATCCAGGGAACAGAAGAAAGAGGAGAGCAACAAAAGCTAATACAAATATAGGTTATTAATAGATTTTTAAATAGTTACACCTTTTATCCTCTTCCTTCTACAGATTCTGAAGGCAAAACTATGGAAGAGCAATAGAGCATATTAGACCAACTATAAAGTTCTTTAGTAATGTAATAAATACGGAAAGACCCATGAACGTCTGTATTTAGGGAAGAATAATTTGAAAAGATTGGCTTTCATCTTAGATGATGTTATGCTAGACAACGACAGTGATAGCACACACCCACGAAAAAGTGAGTCCAGTCATTTTGTGTTACCCGAATCCACCCATAGGTTTCCTTACTGTCCCATTTTCTCATACAGTTCGGCGTCAGTTGCTATTTTGTAAACCACATTAAAATACAGTTGTCAGTCATTGCGTCCTTGCCCATATATCCTTCTAGGAGAATCTGCTTCCTCCCACAGGCCACACCTAAGGCATGGACATAAGCAGCCATGTTTGCTCAGCTGGTCTCACCACCTTTGGCTTCATCTGATTGTACCAGAATAAACATACTTTACTCAGAGAGAACCAACTAGATTTTTTCTCTGTGTCCAAAAATTTGCACTGAGAAAAATGGATAAGTAACTTGGTGTCTGGATGATGGTAATGACAATAAACTAGAGAAGGCCACACATTTCTGCTGTGAGGTCTTCCGAGCTAGTCAGGTTCACCACCTTCATTAGGTCTGGCTGTGTATCCTTTCTCCTTGGGTTTGCTTGGGATAATTATATTTACAATAAATCGCACTTTTACTTTAGCTTAGATTGAATGGGTCTCTGTTTCTTGACACTGAAAATAAATAGAATGTTGAAAGGAAAGCCTAATATTTTTACCATATAATTGCATGGTTTAAGTAAAAATTACAGTCTTTATTAAAGCAGTAGTAGTCAAACCAATATGCTCGTATATTTTCAAGCTAATAGAACCCTTTACAAATGCCAATTAGGAGCTTTTGAAAGCCCAGGAGTCATGTTAGAAACTGCTGATATCTGTGCTTTCCGTGTAGTTTCAATAGATCTTACGGTACAAATTACTTTCTGAAAATTCAGGGAAATTTTGGATACTTCTTCATTGCTTCTACACCCTTATGATTCAAGGCTGTGACCAACTTCAGCTTGTTTCCAAAGTCAGCACCTCATTTGATGTTATTGTAAAGAAAACTTAATGTCTGTCAACGTTGACATTGGGTGAGGTGTCGTTCCCTGATCCTACCATTTCCCCTGCCTCTCCTTGTGCTATTCTCAACCGAAGCAGTGTGACCACAAAGAACAATAACTGGATGGGAAGTCACGTGGTGCTCTACGCATCACGAGGCCGGTATGTGGCGGCTATTCCTCAATATACAGGGCTTCTTTATGGGAAAACCACACTAGATTGGAAAATGTGGCTCAGACCAAGAAACCTAAGTAAGGCTTCCTATTCCATTCTCCTTGAATCAGGTATGCTAGTCACTTATCAACAGGAACCAGCCAGAAAACCTGGAATAGAGAATATAACCATGAAGATCCATCACCTTTCAAGGCAGTGGTCCTGCCCCTTAGTGATAGGCTTTCCAGTGGGAGAAGCCCTGACCATTCAGATATTCAGCTGCTGCTCTAATAGGTGGACATCTACAAGGGGCTATAGAGAGACAGGGCAGAGTTTCTCCTTTTTAGAGATGCTGTAGGACACATCCAGTCCCATCCCCAGCAGGCTATTCTTTCTAGCATGAACATAAGCTATTATATGTTTGAAACACTATAGGATGACCAGGATAGTCTAGGATAGGCTCCCATCGGAGCACAGACCAAAGTGATATTAATCATTACACATAGTATCACACATTTGTCCCAGATTGATAGAAGATATGGAATTACACCAGAAGGAAAATATTAACGTTTGCTGTTTGTTTGACAATAATGCCGGGACCATTCCAAAAACATCTCTCAGAGAGTTTTGTTTTGTTTCAGCTAAGGCACTAGCTGTCACAGTAGCCTGATAGGTATGGTCGACCAACTTGGGAAATCTCAAGTCTGGTTTTCCCATTAGAAGTAACTTTAATAGGAGGTTATAAAAATGATTTCTCTATGTTATCACAACTGTCATGATAAAGTCATGCGGGAGAAATATTCAGTAGAAAATTTAGAATATTACTCGAACAGAGGCATTATGTGAATAAAGTAATTATTGGTCCCAGAAATATAGGTTAAGTGTATATGTTCTTATACACTATATATGTTCAAGCACTGTTACTTGCTCCCCCTACAGCCCTGTCCCCATTACCTTGACTAACAGAACTCCAATTTAATTGGGATGTACAAAGGCCCAACCCTAGGGATGCATCTTGCTAGATGTCATCTACTCTCATGTCCTGGTGATTGGTCCGGGGGCAGGCATGGGATCCAGTTTTGTGCATTGACACATAAGAAGTCTTCTGGAGGTGTGTGGGAGGCAGACAGGGTTGGAAATGAATAAACGGCATATGGAAAGAAAGCACTTGGGCTTCCACCTACTTCCTTCCTGCTTAAAAACTTGCTCTTCTACCAGGATAGAATGCTTGCAGCTTGGGCAGCCATTTTGTGGCCATGAGGAGACACATCACCAGTATGGTGCCACCAGGAAGGTGGTTGTGTGGAAAGAGAAAAAGCCTGGCACCTGGGACCGAGACCTTGATGAATTAAAAGAGCCTCTGAACCAACTCTGGGCCAACTTCAGAATTTCTGTCAAATGAACAATGAACAACTTTATGGCTTACGCCCCTGTTAGTTGTTAGCCAATGAATATATACATATATATATGACCATATACACTTACGGCCAACAGCTATGTAACCTGATAGAGAAAGATCTTTCAATTTATTATTTGTCTCAGAGGAACGAATAAGAAATGGATTTATATAATTTAAACAACTGACTTCTCCCACTCTGCCAAGCTCAAAACCTTTATTGACTCCTATATTTGTAATATTCTTCCTAATTCCAGTTAGTAAATGCCTCGTTTGGTACTAGACCTGTGTTTTCCAACATTAGCATGTATCATAATCATCTTTTTAAACAGATTGCTGGGCTTTACCTCCAGAGTCTCTGATTCAGTAGGTCTCAGGTAGAGCCTAAGAATTTGCATTTTTAGCAAATTCTCAGGTGATGCTGCTGATCTGGGGAAGCACACTTGGACGGACACTGCCTAGCTTACAGGCAGTCACATCCTAAGTCAGCCACATCCCCAGTTCCCTCCACTCACACCTACACCCCAAACAGTTGAGTCTGAATTTCATTTTCTGACCACAAGATTCCTCTCCATACTCACCAGTAAATTGTTTTCGGTCTCCTTGATGCTCTCCAAACTGGTCCGCCACGATCCTGTGAGCCTTAGGTTTGTGGCCTGCCTGCTTTTACTATATACCATTTGCCCTGCCTGGAGTGTCCCCAAACCTGACCTCATTGAAGCCTCTTTGGGTCTCACACAGTGGGTGGCCTTCCCTCTCTTGACCAAATCCTTCTTTCTTTCTTTTTATCTCAGAGAGAAAAAAATGGTGGGACTTCAACACCTAGAAAGAGGTTAAAGAGCCTTTTTCCTCCCTCTGTACTCCCTACCAGGTTCAAGTGGGGGATAACATCCCACATAACTGTCATTTGCTCCTTTGCTGGCCTTAACACAAACATTTTTAACTCTAAAATTGCCTTGGCCCAGAGCCGAACGTTCACTCATTCTGCAGAGGACACAGAAACGTTATTCAGGCTTATGGCTGAGCTACTGGAAGCTAAACCAGTAACCCTCCCAGGAGTAAGTGCTTGCTGCATCCTTCACATTAATTTCCTCCGGGCAGAAACTATGAGCCCACGGACACATCTGACCACCACTTTCCCCCTTCACTGGTACAAAGAAGAGTGATTTCTACACAAAGGGTCCATAAGCAAGGTTTTTGCAGAATGCACGCAGTCTCCTCCCTTCTCACAGGTGTGCTACCTATCCCCGGGACAGTGGCCACAAACTGGAATGTGTCTTGCTCAAGAACAACATGCAACGGTCACACTCAAGTAATGCTACCAGGCAAGTTTTCATCCTCGGTGCCCAACAACTACCCATTGTGAGCTCTCAGTCCCCGTGCTGACTTGACCTATCAGCGGTATCTGACATGGTTGATAATTTACCTCTCTCTGGTACCTTTCACTTGCCTTCAGGGCATGACTCTCTCTTGGCTTTCTTCCTATGTAATCTCCATGAAGCGCCTCACTTTTTCCTCAGTATCCTTTGCTGACTCTTCCTCTTATCCCTTCACAAGGTTGGAGAGACTCTGAGGACCTGCCCTCGGTTGTCTTCTCTACCTACACTCATCTATTAGTGATCCTAACCAGTCCCATGACTTTACAAGCCATCTATATGTAAGTAACTCCCAAGACTGTATCAGCAGGGTGTCATTGCTTCCAAACCTCAGGTTCATCTATGCTGCTTAATATTTCCAGTCAAACGGCTAATCGGCAAAGAAACTATCAAGTCCCAAATGTGTTGGGGCGGGGCCCCCGGCCCTGCGCTCTTCCAGAGCCCTTTCTCCACTGTGGCGTGGGCCCGGTCCAAGAAAGGGAAGGGGAAGCCACCGAACGTGTCCCCGGCGGAGGTCCAACCCAAAGACCGGCCCGTCCTCTGCAGGCACAAGTGTCTGGGCAGTCTGCCTCCACGTTTACCCGAGCCCAGCCAACTCGGTCACAGTTGAAGTTCCTGGTGCCCGTGTTGGACCCGCGACCGCGTCCCCAGGCATCACACCTTCGTTAGCCGGGCAAGCCCTGGTGACAGGCCGCGCACAGCGCGGGAAGACCTTCTCGGCGAGCGCTCTTCAGGTTCACGAGCGGACGCATACCGGGGAGAAGCCTTTCGTGTGGAACATTCGCGGGCGATCTTGTACCATCAAAGGCAACCTGAAGGTGCACATAGGACGCATGGGGCCAACAGCAGCTCGGCACGCTCGGGGTGGGG